TGGTGGGTTTGAGGGATCAAGTCCCAGATAGGGTGCTTTTGTGAGGGAAGTCATTTGTGAAAAACGGGGCCCCCCACGGTTCTCTGGGGGGGGGCAGGATGGTGGGAAGTGTGGATGGGCTTAGTTCACTGCAGACAACAGGATCTTCAATCCTACATAATGTAGGGTGTCTGAGAAGAGACTGAACTGGGTTTCCCAGGGAAGGAATCGAGGAATGGATAGAGTAGTGGGCTTAGGAGAGGCAAGGACTTGTGAGGGGACCATGAGTGAGTACAGAGTGGCTTTTAGTTGGGAGGGAGGGTCACAGGGTGTCTTGGGACTCTTAGATGGCTTCAGGGTGGGGTGTTGATGCTGTAGAGATTTTCCCTCGTTAGTTTAGGGTAGTTTAGGGGACATGCGGCAGGAACGTGCAAAGTTAGTAAGGACTAGATTCGGGGCGCAAAGTCTGGGATAAAGGAGAGTCCCCAGGAGGAGTGGACTGTTTAGGGCCTCCCACGTTCCTGCCACCTGCTCTCCCGGAGCGCCCCTACAGCTGTGGGCAGGACGAGGGCGGCTCCTGAGCCCGGGAAAACCTTCGCCACGCCCACGTCCACGCCTCCGGGAAGGCCACGCCCCCTAGAGCCCAGCCGGCCTGAGGTGCGCGGCGGGAGCAGAGGGAGAGCGCGCGGTGGCTTCGTCCCTGTGCCCCGCGCCCGGTGGTCCTCGCGTGGCCCCGCGTCCTGAGCGCGCTCCAGCGTCCCACGCGCGCCGCCCCGGGGTTCATTGAGCCCGGAGAGCCCTGGGAAGACAGAGAAAGAGAGGCCAGGGGGGGGACCCCATGGCCCGGCCCGTGTCCCGCACCCTGTGCGGTGGCCTCCTCCGGCACGAGGTCCCCGGGTCGCCTCCGGTCCCCGCGATCCGGATGGCGCACGCAGTGGCTGGGGCCGGGCCGGGCTCGGGTGGCCGGAGGAGTCACCACTGACCGGGTCATCTGGAGCCCGCGGCAGGTAAGCAGAGTCCTGGGGTGCAGTGCGGGGGGGGAGTCCCTAAGTTCCCCCTCCCGGATCACTGCCGGGCTCCCTACACGACGGGGTGCGCTCTGGGCTCCTAAGACCTCTGGTGCCTGTGGAAGGCTGCTGGACCTGCGGGTCCCGGTGAGCGCCCCGTCGGTCAGGGAGAATGGTGTAGGGGGATTTCGCGGTCACAGGAAACCCTGGGAGGGAGGTCCAGCTGCGCGCACCGGCGGCGCACAGAAGTAAACACTCAGGGGCGCGTTCCCTGCGCTCCCGGGGACACCGTGTCCTCCCCGGTAAGGGCCGGGCCACTGGGCTCCTGAATCAGCCACAAGATGGCGTGGGGCTCTTTGGAGGGGGGGGCGTCCCTTAAGGGCAAAGCTCAGATTAGAAACGGGGGTGTGTTCCCCACTTTCTGAGTTCTTATTCCAGATTATCCCCAGATAACTCGGTTTATGGGTGAGAAGTCACCAGGCCCACCCAAGGATGCTGCAGAGAGTGGGCAGACCTCAGGTGGGACCGGAGGAGGCAGAAATCCTGAAGCCCAGGGTAGATGCTGAGATGTGGAGAGAGAGAGAGAGAGAGAGAGAGAGAGAGAGAGAGAGAGAGAGAGAAGGAGAAAAGAGATTGCCACCTGCCTGGCTCACTGGGTCCGGCTGGGGAACTTCGAGGTGGTGGTTGTGCAGGGAACTGGACCCTTGGGTTTCTGTTCCACCACCTTCGTTCGCGGGGCTTCACATCTCTGGGACACCCTTTGTGTTTGTCAGCGCCCCGGGCTGAGGAAGCCCCCTGGGATGTGACTAGCAGCAGCGGGTAGACTGCAGCCTAACCAGCTTGTGCCCCCCCCCCCCCCAGCCCCCCCCGTCTCTCCCCGCTTTCATCCAATTTTTTCATCGGAGACCGGGGTCCTGAGCCCGCTGTAAACCTCTATGCATCCACAAAGGGCTGGCTGTACCAGGGAGTGAGAAATGCCTCCCTCAGCAAGGTACCCCCTCAGCCGTGTACACCCCATCAACCAGTCCCCCCTCAGCCAGGTACACCCCATAACCAGGCCCCCCCCAGCAGGGTACGCCCATCAACCATGCCCCCCTCAGCCGGGTACCCCACCTCAGCCAGGCATCCTGTCCCAAAATGCTACCATCCTGTTCTCAGAATTAAGTAAAAAACAGTCACACAAACTCGGAGCCAGGCACCCAAAACAAAACCCAAAACCAAAAAACCACCACAAAAGGCAGAGATGTTTTCGACAAATGTTTGCCTGTGGGCAGTGCCGCACTAGCATCTACGGACGTGGGGCTCGGGAACCCGTGTGACTAGATGATGGGCTGAGACTCCGGGAGGACTTCCTGGAGGACGGGCATTACAACTGGGGCTGGGTAGGGTGAGTTCTGTAGGTGGGGAAGAAAGGGACAGCACTTGGCTTGTTTGAGGACAGGCAGGGTGACCCGGTGGCAGGTGGGGAGAATGTTTTGGAAGGTTGACAGAGGAAGCATGGGGAATAGGTGTGGCGCCTCCAGCCTGTTGTCACAGCTACTCAGGATCTGGAGGCAGGAGCATCAGGTGTTCAAGGTCAGCCTTGGCTACACTGACTCAAAAGAGAGATGAGAGCAAAGTTACAAATAAGTCCATGAGACCAGAGCTGTCCGTGATGACTACGCAGCCTGAGACACCACCTCCGGGGGTCGATGCCGCTGCATTTGCCTCGGGCTCACACATATATTTAAAATAATGAAAAGAATTCCTTTAAAAGTTCAATAAATAAACAGAATAAGAGGAAAAAGAAAGTGCCGGGCCCCCTAGACTCCCAGCTCCCGTCTGGGGAAACTGAGGCTCAGACAGGCTCCCAGCTCTCATGTGGGGAAACTGAGGCTCAGAGAACAGACACCTTTATCGAGGACCCGAGACCAAACTTTGAATTTGGGGAGGAAGGAGAGGGCAGACAAGTCCCCTCCCTCCCCGCCCTGTACTGCCACCCGGGGCCTGCCTCAGTTTCCCTTCCAAGCCAGGTCAGGACTCTAATGGGTGACTCTTCCCAGCCTTCCTCAGTGCCCCGCGCCAGCGGCTCAGCCCGCATTAGACTGATCCGGTTATGCGCGGGACCTCCTGCTCACAACCAGCCCCAGGGCTGGCACGTGCTTCTGTGCTGTGTGTCCTGCCCGGAAAAGTCCACTTTTCTGGTTCTGACTGGAGTGGGGTGGGGAGGGGGTGTCGGGAACAGGGAGTAACAAGGTGGAAAGGGGCTTCCCAGCAGAGGCTGCAGAGTGGGGGGGGGGACTCCACCCCCTTCGCCATTTTAAATCCATCTGCTGAGCGACATTGAGCCACCACTGTCCAATGTTTAAGAATGTATGGAGACAGGGTGGCTAAGCTAACAGTTGACCTCTGACTTCTGCACGCACACAGGCACACTGCGGCGCGTGCTCCCGCAGAAATAATTTCACATGGAAATAAGGTGAAATCTCTTTAAGTGTAGGGGGGCATTGGAATTGGTGTTTTGAGGTATGAGCAGGAGTTTGGTCAGTCAGGCATCACTCGAGCTTTAGAGGTGCAGCAGCCCTGGGGTTCTTGCCCATTCTCTCTCGACTGGGACGGAGTGGCTGTGTTCTCCATCAACCCATCAAGCCCCAAATGCCTCCCCAGGCCACAGCCCCCACAGCTCATCGGAACCAGCTGTGCTCCACAGATGTTGTTGCTTTGCCCCCAGATGTGCATCCCGCCAGTGGGTGGGGCCCGTGGAAGGAGGTGAGGACCCAGGCTCTGGAAGGCCTCAGTTTCCCCATCTGGAACCACCAAAGAAGCCATAGTCTGGGGAAAACTGAGGCACGGATTCTGGAAAGTATAGGTCTAGGAATCCCTCCTCCCCCTGGTGCCCTTATGATTTTCTAGAATTGAATGACCCCAAAACCGCAAGCTGTAGGACATATCACGCCAGCACTCAGGAGTGGAGGCAGGAGAGTCAGGAGTACAGGGTCATCCTCAGCTACATACTTGGACTACAGGAGACCCTGTGGGTTACAAGGAGTGAGCAGGCTGAGATAACAGGTTCAGAAAACTGACTTCAGCCCTCCCTCCCCTTCCCTGTACCTTTTGGCTCTGACAGAAGATGGGGAAACTAAGTCACCCCGGCTGGGGCAGTTGCCATGGAGACGGGGCAAGGCAACTCTCCTGGTCCTAAAGGAAGCAAGCTTTGAAGGATGAATAGGAGATTGCGGCTGCTGAGGTTAAGGCTCAGTTCCAGGCTTTGGATACTAGCCAGACTGAGCACCACGGTGCCCGGGCATGCGCACATCTCCTCTGCAAACACGAGTGGGCAGATGGGGAAACTGAGGCTTGGAGGAGGGAGGAACAGAAGAATGTGATCCTGGGCAGACAGAACGCTTGCCAGGATGTGGTGACCCTTGGCCTCCTCCCAGGGGCCTCTGCGCACCTATGTCACCCCCCCCCCAGAATACCCGCGCCCCTTCCGTGCCAGACACAAACCAGTCGGGTGACCCCAGACAGAGGGACCATTGTTCATGGGTTCAGAGCGGGAGTAAGCGGTCTGAGACCACTGAGTGGGTGTAACCGGGCCACCCCGGTACTGGCATTTCTGCTGTCATGCTTCCTCATAGAGCCCAGAGAGGAAACTGAGTCACTGCCTCCAGAGGGATGATTAATAAGGCACGGGCCTTGGGCGTGAGGGCAGTCATGCCAGGACAGCTGACTCCGAGCCGCAGACGCGGAGGACACAGGTTTGGTTCCCACCACCCTGTCACTCCATCTCGGGAACCCCACGTCCACTCCTGGCCTCCTTGGGCAGCGCACAAGTGTGGTGCGAGGTCCCAGCAGTCATGTGACTTGAATTCAAAGTGAAGCTTAGGCAAACCATCGGCACCCAATAAATGTCAGACAAGGACAAATGCACGCATGGTTTACTGGGACAATGGACAGTGGAGAGTCTTGAAGCCTCAGTATACAGTTGGTGCTCAATAACCAAGCGGGGCCTGGAATGCAGATTGAACCCTGGGTCCAAGCACAGAAGGATGATCAGAGTGCAGGGTCAGCCTCTGATACACAAGCGTTTCGGACTAGCCTGGGCTAAATCTCAAAAGGAAAAACAACAACAACAAAATAGCCAAACCGGATGCCGCTGACCATGGCGAGCCTCTACTTGCTCTGTGCCTCAGTTTCCCCAAATGTCTCCTGTGTACTCAGCATCAGGCCTGGTACACAGTTAGCACCCGTGTTGGGGCCATGCAAATTGAATGCAAATGTCTTCCAAGACACAGCACACTGGGTAAGATAGGAGGTGGTCTAGCCTCAGGGAACATGGGCACTGGTCAGGAGTGTTCGGGTGTTTAGACACTGTGTGTAGTGAGCGGAAGTACTAATACTTTGATGGAAGACGTGCAGCCTGGTAGGGAAAACTGAGGCACACAGTAGGATCCTCCTCCAGGGTCACCTCCTGCTGTCACCCTCTCCTCTCCTTGCCTGGGCTCCCTATCCATTGCTAGGACACGCCAAGCACCCTCAGTCTCAAGGCCTCTGAACCCCTTATTGCCCCAAGTGAAATATCCACTGTCCCACCACCGTGTCCCGCCGCGCGCACACCCACTATCATCTCCCCGCAGGTCAAGGCCCAGGATGAGGCGCTGGAAGGCGGCGGCCCTGGTGTCGCTCATCTGTAGCTCCCTGCTGTCTGTCTGGATGTGCCAGGAGGGTCTGCTCTTGGGCCACCGCCTGGGACCCGCGCTCGCCCCGCTGCGACGCCCTCCACGCACCCTGGACGCCCGCATCGCCCGCCTGGCCCAGTGTAAGCCCTGCCCCCGGAGGGAGGGGGCTTCCTGGAAAAGGTGCCTGGTGGGTTCACCCTCCTGTGGGGAGAAACCGAGGCTCAGGCGGTCTGAGGCGGTCGTGAAAGCAGTCTACCAGCACTGACCAGAGAGGGTGTGGCAGGTTGCACGCGGAACGCTGAGCCCCTTAGCTTCTGGGGTGTGGCTTTGACTTGATTTTTTTTTTTTTTGAGACAGGATCTCATGTAGCCCAGACCAGCCTCAAACTCACAGAGTACCAAAGGATATCCCTGAAATAATCCTCCTGCCTCCTGAACCCCCTCAGTTCTGTACGTCCCTCAGCTACACACAAGTAGGGGGCAATGGCAGCCACCACGACGCTGGAACCAGGGTGTAGGTCCACGCCACTCAGGACTGCGCATGCGCGGCGGGGACCAGCCCTCGTGACCCAATCCCTTGTCTCTTTCTTCCCGCCATAGATCGCGCTCTGCTGCAGGGCGCCCCCGACGCAGTGGAGCTTCGAGAACTCTCTCCCTGGGCTGCCCGCGTCCCGGGGCTGCGCCGTCGAGCGGGCCCCCGGCGTCGGCGTGCGCGGCCAGGAGCGCGGCCGTGCGGGCTCCGTGAGCTGGAGGTTCGCGTGAGCGAGTTGGGCCTGGGCTACACGTCGGACGAGACCGTGCTGTTCCGCTACTGCGCAGGTGCGTGCGAGGCGGCCATCCGCATCTACGACCTGGGCCTGCGGCGCCTGCGCCAGCGGAGGCGCGTGCGCAAAGAGCGGGTGCGAGCGCACCCGTGCTGCCGCCCGACGGCCTACGAGGACGAGGTGTCCTTCCTAGACGTGCACAGCCGCTACCACACGCTGCAAGAGCTGTCGGCGCGGGAGTGCGCGTGCGTGTGACGCTACCTCACATCCCGACCTGCGAAGGGGCCCTGCAGAGCCGTGTGAGAACTGAATTCACATAAAGTGTGGGAACTCGCGTGTCTCTGTTCATTCATGCTCTGCCGGGGAGCCGGGTGTGAATGGGGGCTGCCCAAGGGAGGGCTGGTTCCTGGTGGCCTGGGAGAAAAGGGAAATAGATGTGAACAAAGAAAAAGCAGTCATGGGAAATGGCCTTGCTGGAGCCCACAGAAAATGATGCTTATGGCCGTGTGGGCCCGTAACCAAGGCACTGGACAGATACACAGGAGAGGCCCGGGATAAGTTCAGGGTTCACCATCTGTCTTGGGATTTCTACTGCTGTGTGGAAACGCCATGACCAAAAACCAAATTGGGGAGGAAAGTGTTTATTTGGCTTATTCCATATCACTGTGCCTCACCGAAGGAAGTCCGGACAGGAACTTAAGCAGGGCAGGAACCTGGAGGCATGAGTGTGCTGCTTACTTGCTTGTTCAGCCTGCTTTCTTACAGAACCCAGGGCCCAGCCCAGGGATGGCACCACCCACGGTGGACTAGGCCCTCCTACATCAATCACTAAGAAAATGGAAGCATTTCCTCAACTGAGGATCCTGACGACTAGATTATGTCATGTTGACACACAAATCCAGGCAGGACCCCCTGTGAGACCACCCACATATTGCCATATCATAAAAAGAGACATGTGGAGGCTGAATACGCTGCTTGGCAGTTAGACAACCAGCTAGTCTTGCAGAGGACCTGGGTTCAAATCTCAACATCCACATGACAACTCAGTTCCAGAGTGACAACTCCTTTTGTCCTTGGGTACCACATGCCTATGTTGCAAACAAAACATACAATACATCCATTTTTTTTTTTTTTTTAGAGCTGAGGACCTAACCAAAGGCCTTGCGCTTGCTAGGCAAGCACTCTACCACTGAGTTAAATCCCCAACCCCATCCATCTTCTTTTTAAGAGAGAGAAACAGTAAATACAGAGTGAGGAAGGAGAGAGTAGAAAAAAGATGATGCCCAGTGTTATATGCCAAGTTTGTCCTTCCAACCCTGGGTCATGACTTTTAGACCAGCCTGGGCTGCACAGTGGCCAACTTCCCTGTCATCTCTAGAGAACTGGACCCATATCTCCTTCCTTAGCTAAAAATATCCAGTTCTCACTACCCACTTCCTCATGGGGACAGGTCTGGAGTGGGTGCCAGCTCTATCCAGCCCCAAGCTGCCACCTCCTTAGCTGGGCATGGAAGGATGGGCTACACCATAGGCTGGGCTGCGGGTTTCATGGCCTTGGTGTCACCTTGATGCCTGACTGGCCTTGAGGGTGACAGGGAATATTGGGTTCCCAGCGATTTGGATGGGAGGTCTGTGGGTCCCACAATGGAGAATGGATGAGGAAGGGTGCTGTGTGACAAGACTTTTCCTGGGGAGATGCAAAACAGACAGACAGACACACACACACACTTCCACTCTCCCCAGGTACGGAGCCTATGACAGTTCCTAGTATGGACACCAACAAAGCCCACCATGGTGCCATGAGTTTTATTGGGGTCACTGATGGGCATATGAGTGAGGGGTCACATACTGGAGCAGAAATGACTCAGAGACAGCTGCATCACCAAGGCGTGAGTGACAGCTTAGAAAGCTGGGGACCTGATGCTCACCACACAGTCTGCAGGCAGGGCATCAGGATGCAGACCGTCCTTTCCAGTGCCTCAGTTGTTCTGAGCATCTTCCAGGCAGATTGGCTTCCTGAGCTCAGCTTTTATTGCTCACTCTGGCAGGGAGGGGGCAGGTGAAGCTGGTCGGTTTCAGGGACTTCCTGAAGCTGTTTTAACTTCTTGCTTCAGGAGCTTTCTGCACATGGAATATTTCAATATCAGAGGTAAGTGATATTGATGGCAGTTTTACAGGCACATCATATCCATCTAATGAAACCATAGACACGTCTTCCCTCTCAGGGCCTAGGACCTCTGCAGCCACAGCTTTGATCCTATCAGTACCAGATGTGAACTCATTCTGTGGTGCATCTCTTAAGTCGGATCTGAAGGTTGTTGGTCTCACCCACAACAACCAAGCCACTGTTGTACATAGCCAGGTCCTTAGCTGAGCAGCAATGCTGGTGCTGGTTCTCTACCAGCAGCCTGTGTGACCCCCCCCCCTTCAGCTCTGAAAGCCAGCCAGCAGGGTGAGAGTTTCCAGGTCAGTCTCAGCTTAATTTCTCTGTCCTGATGTCACAGCGTGCACATGTGGTGTCTTCAGCAGTGAGGTCTACTCCTGGGCTAGAATCAACAACAGTAGCCACAGCCTTTATGTTCATGGGGACTCTGGGCACTTCCTTGCCAACAGCTCATGGGGTAGCCCACCCCCACCCTGGAGTCTTCATTCAGTACCCCTATGCTTTGCAGAATGTAGGATTTGTTCTGGATTTAAATCTTTTAGTTATTGTCTTGAACCATTTTTCCTTCCTGTTAACCCAGCCCTGGCAGGGTGGTAAGGCAGGTGGAAGTGTCATTGTACCTGGGTGTCTCATCTGCAGGACACTCCGGTTGGCATTACATCATCTATATAACCTTGTCCAGAGGATGGGCAGGACACAGCAACATCCCATAACAAATGGTGGGGTCACAAAGATAACAGCAATGAGGCACTATCGAAGTCCGTTGTCTTCTGTACTCAGTGGAGTGACCCCAGAAGTTCACAACTAAGAAGAAACAGAGGTGAGCCGAAGCACAGGAAGTGTCCCCTTCTGTTTCTATCAGTCATTTCCTGCAGAGATCATGCTTGGGGGCAAAGCATGGTCAGGAGGTGCTACTTAGCTCCCCGCTGCCCTCTGAGCCAGTGATTTGAGTGTCTTAGAACTCTTCCTGAGCCTCCCTACATTTCTTCATGTCTGATGAAATCAGGGGTCCTGACTGTATCCACTCAACCCTGCCCAGAGCCAGAGGGCACAAGGTCCTGCTCCCCCTCAGGCACCCCTGGCTCCCTGGGTCACACCAGCCCAAGGTTGGCACAGTGGATATAGCTTAGTCACCTGTGTTATCTCATGCTCCCAGCATGCAGCAGGGGGTTTTCTATCAGTTCCTCCTTAGGAACTCCACCAGACACAGGTCCTGCCACATTTCTTTTTGAGGAATGCAGACAGACTTCCTCGTCAGCGTTGCTGATTGTTCATTTTGTTCTCTCTCAATATTTGCCTGTTCTTTACATGCCAGTCTAAGTCACTGAGATCTGCCAAAGCCTTTCCTCCTTCATAAAGCTATTGTTATCCTCCCCACAGCCCCCAATACGCTCACCTAAAATACTAAAGCTACAGCCCTACTCTGAGGTCCCCACTAGGTCAGCCCTTCCTTTAATCTGTGAACACAGTTCTACCTGGCACAGTCAGCTGGGGTCCAAACACAGCTCCTCTTCTCCCTGGTTGCCTGAACAGCACTGCCCCTTCTCTATGGTCCTCCAGACCCTATGTGTGGGACCTGAGTTGGAAATAACCAAGTGTATCGAATGACATTGAGAAGCCAGTCCCTCAGGGACTGATTCACGGTCTCAGATTTGCAGCCTTTGCCTAAAGGTGGAATGGGAAGTGACATGGCTCAGTTCCCCTGTATCCACAGCCCCGAGACTGCTGCCATCCACCCCCATGAGCATGGTCTCAGGTTTCCCTCAGTTCCATCAATGCAGATATTGAGCATACTGGGGTCAACGTAGCTTCTTGTGCTGGGCATGGTTAATGCCCCATCTGCAGGCTGGATCACAGATTTTCTCTCTTTACTATTAAAGGTCAGGCCTGCAGGAATCTTCTGTTGCTTTTGCCATGTTCCCCTCCTCTTCACTCTGCCCGATCCCGTGGTTCCAAGTTCTTGGTTCCTAGGAAGGGCATTCAGCACTGATGCAACTAACATCTGCATGATTTTCCTTCTGGCCTGAAGCCTCAAGCAAAACACACACACACACACACACACACACACACACACACACACACACACACTTCCACTCTCCCCAGGTATGGAGCCTTTGACAGTTCCTAGTATGGACACCAACAAAGCCCACCATGGTGCCTCGAGTTTTATGGGGGTCACTGATGGGCATATGAGTGAGGGGTTACCTACTGGAGCAGAAATGACTCAGAAACAGCTGCATCACCAAGGCGTGAGTGACAGCTTAGAAAGCTGGGGACCTAATGCTCACCACACAGTCTGCAGGCAGGGCATCAGGATGCAGACCGTCCTTTCCAGTGCCTCAGTTGTTCTGAGCATCTTCCAGGCAGATTGGCTTCCTGAGCTCAGCTTTTATTGCTCACTCTGGCAGAGAGGGGGCAGGTGAAGCTGGTCAGTTTCAGGGACTTCTTGAAGCTGTTTTGTTTAAGTTTCTGCTTTAGGAGCTTCCTGCAGGATGGAATATTTTGTGTAGAAGGAAATTGTACCTAGCAAAGGGTGAGGCCATTTTTTATCTGTTTGCGGTGGCCCTGACATCTGCAAACACTTGGGATGGGGTTTTCAGGGGTGTCTGTCCCTGTCCAGCATTCCCAAAGATCTGTAGGCTGAGGACATGCAACCCTTCACCAGAGTAAACTCTCCCAAGACTTCTTCATGCAGACCAACTCAGCAAGGCTTCCCAGGTGCCCTGCAGGGATTCATGGTGCTGGCCCCAGCCCATGGGTGTTCTCTGTGGAAGAGGGGTTGAAGCCAGGCCCCTGTCTGGGAGCCCTATCCAGCTGCCCACAGCCTTCTTGAGAAGAAGAGGAGATGAAGTGAGGAGATGGGTTTCTCACTCAGTTTCAGCTGAATCAGCTGATGGTGGCCAAAACACCAGAATCTTCACGTGTTGTAGAAACCACTTAGGGGCTGTTCCTGGCCTCAGTTTCTCCAGTGTGCTCAGACCTCAGAGTCTCAGAGTTGGTCTCTTGGAGTCCAAAGCTGTACTCCCTTGCCCAGGTGGGTGTGTTTCCCCATGTGAGGGGAGGCAGCCCCCACCCAGGCCTGCAGAGACCTTGGCTTCCTGTGTCCCACATGCCAGCCTGCAGAGTGGGGTGGAACCCACAGGAGATGGAAACGTAAACAAGGTGTCTCCCACAG